AGAAAAATATGTATCATAACTTTTCGTAAAAGTGTTCAATCAGCGAATTTTTTTGAAAGAGAAGCTTCCATGAAACCAAAAGCAAAACTCAAAATGAGAACTCAATAAATGTTTTACAAGCTTTACCGAGCGGAATTCATAGAACTTTCTCAAGTACCTTTCTTTACAAGCTTGCAACAATGAGATATGGCAATATGTATTATATTTTGTTGCAAGTTATTTCAGAAATTGCAACATTTTCTCTATCTAGTATTTGAGAAAGTAAGAATTTTTGTTAGAGCTGGAAAAGATTGTAAATTTTCTAAACGGATCAAAATTATATATCAACTTTACGAATTTCTTACAGCTGAATTATATGAAAGGAATATGTAATATTAACAGCAATTGAGAGTTATGTGTCAAGTGCTGGATGATCCCATTTGTGTTTACAATCATTTCTCCCAGGAGGACGTGATCCTGACGCACCCATCGGTCAAAGAAGTCGCAGTGATTGGCATTGATCATCCTGAGAGCGGTCAAGTTCCAAAAGCCTTAGTTGTACTTGAAGATGGAGCTGACCAACAATCGATCAGCTTGAAAATAAAAGCTCTAGTCATTCGTAAGTCAACACTCTTGAGTTTTTTATTCTTATTCAAATGAAATTTCGCTTTTGCAGAGAAACTTTCTCATACGAAACAATTGCGTGGTGGTGTTCAAATCTGTGCAGAACTACCAAGAACTAGCACTGGTAAAATTAAGCGAAGCGAGTTACGTAAAATTGTGACCTCCTAATTACTTAATCGACTCATCTTAGATTGTTCACTTTCATTTACGCTTTTTTACTGAAAATAAATTTGATGCAATAAAACTGAGTGTAAGCTGGTGATACAGTGGAAAAAGATGCAGAAAACAGTCATTATTCAAATCTTTGAAATAATTTCTTCGACAGTCTTTTGAATTTGTAGAAATTTTCTTCACACACTTATTTTTCCCACATGATACGCTTTATTTTGCCTAAAACACCCATCAGTGTAACTATGACATTTAGCGATCTCAGCTGCCAGCTCACGCTATTTAGTTTCATCATTTGGATGACACGAGGGCACGCGGGAATCGATCCTGGCATGCTACGCGCAATAACGCGCCCACACGCACTGCGCCATGCACTACCATGTGTCTTTGCGCCGCTACTTATCAAACTTTCCACTCCTACATATC